AGATAAAAGATGCAGATACAGGCTCAAGGTTGCGAGTTCGAGATGGCTGGAATTCACTTGGGACCTGGCCAGCTTTAGTTTAATTGAATGTCAACGTGATAGGCACGCGGCAGCTGCTCCTTCCCCACCGAAGTATCCTTGAATTTCCCTGCGCGTGTGTGTTTTTGCCCGATCTCCCTAGTGAAATATTTATAGAGCCTGCATGCTCAAATATCGAACGGGAAATGAATGGGAGCACTTCAATGAAATTTATGTAATACAAAGGCAAAATATATTGTTACATTCATTTGGGGGCGGTGTTCGGGAACGGAAATGGGCAGACATGCAAAGCAAGTGCAAAATATTATAAAGAACTATTTATACCCGGGCAATTGAAGTCTATTAATGCTAAAATATACCATAGAAAACGATTATCTATATATGTTCAAAAAAATTATTTTAGAAATAAGTACAATATTTGACTAAGATTTTAATATACACAAAGGCTGTGAGTGCATACGCATAAAAACCTTATCTAATAATTGTAATATATTTATTAGGCACGCTTTAAAATCATTATTTCTTTCTAACCTTCTAACAGGATTTTAAATGATTTGTTTTTCATTTTTTAATAATATATATAATATAATTCTTAGGCATAAGAAGGCTTTAAACTGCAAAACTTCCATAAAAATTCCGAACATAAAGCCCACTTCTATCTTATTATGAGGATGAATAAAATGGCATAATCATTAAATATATCAATTTGCGATATTCCTATAAAATTTAAAATATATTGGGATGTTAATAGAAACAAAGACATCGAAATTGGATTTTTAAAATTTTATTTTTGGTAAATTTTAATATTATTGACATTAATGTCAGTCATTTAAATGATTGTCTTTAAAACATACGGCTTGCAGCAGCTCGCAAAATAAAATAAGGCAAAAAATGAATCACTTAAAAATTTTTTTCCATATTAGTAGGTATCCCTTATTCGAGTACCTGTTCCTACAACGTATCGCACACACCAAAGCGAATCTCATCTGGCTGCTCATTTGCCAGGGCTAAAGCAGCGACATGCGATACGAGCACGCTCCTCATCTTCCCCAGGGATGGAGTCTGTGGTTCAAGTGGGTGTGTGGTGCAGGTAAACTGCAACACATTTCATACTATTGAGTGGTTTTTGAGTGCATTCGAAATAAATGTTATCAATGAAGTTGCATACTTTATGGGCGCAATCCTCGACCCCAAAGCCCAGCCAAAGTCCCCAGAGACGAGGAGATGTGGGTCTCCGGCCTGGCCTCCATATAAAATGAAACGTTTTTAAGTTAAGTGCAGTCAAGAGAATCGACCGACTGACTAACTGACTGACTGACTGGCTAACTGACTAACGGAGTGTTTCAATTTGTTTGATGGAAAACCAATTGTGGCCAAGAGCTCGTCGAACTGCAACTCCAACTGCTCGTTGCTCATCTTGAAATTCATTTAAATGCTCGACCATTAAAGCGACCCTCCGCTGGCAGTTGCATTTTCCCAATTTCCGATACGGACTTTGGCGATTGATTAAAGTTGGGGTTTTAATTAAAACAAAAAGGGCAAATAGAAGCCCAAATATCAAGTGGACTCCATACCCGCTGCACTTTTTATGCAGCACACCGAAAAGCATCGAATAAATCACAAAAGCGAGCTAAATGCCCAGAAAAAATCTTCTCCGGGCCAAGTTGGTGTGAAAACATTTTGCTGGCAACAAACAAAAAGTGGGGTAAGTCCGAACCAAAGGCCGAAATCGAAAACAAAAACTACACAACCGACAAAAACTCAACCAAAACCAGAATCCGGGCTTGCAGCAAGCCATTCCGTTCCCCAGTTCAAGTCCTCGTCCCTTTCCCCATTGCAATACCAATACCAATACCAATCCCGATCCCGATCCAGATCCCTTTCCCTGCCCAATCCACTCCCGGTTCCATTTCGATGGTACACTTTTGTGTGTTGATTGAAATGCCGTTTCATTTTTGATGTTTCGTCCTTTGTAGCCGTTTTATCCTATTTTTATTTATCGATTTCAGGCTGGCCAGTCCTCTGTTTATAAATAAATGTTTCAATTTGACCAGAAAAAAATGCGAGGAAAATGCAAATTCCTTTTCTCCGACTGCTCTTTTTCGTTGTTAGTATGGAAAATGAAAATTTCAGAGTCGAAAATGAAAGAGAAAAGCAAAATGCATTGTATTTTTCAGTTAAATGGGGTGGATGGGGAGTAGAGATTTTGCAAGGCGACACAGATTGGTTCGACATGTCACGATTTAATTTTAAACGAAAGCCCGATTGGGATAATTGATGCCCAGTGATTTCTTCTACGTTTGGCAGTAGAAAATTCTCTGATATTTAAGCTCTGTGTACTCTGTTTATTTAAAAGGACACTCTTCAACTGTCAGATCTAAAATTGTACATGTTCGCTTCCATTTAGGTTAATTAAATACCAGAATTGAAACTTGATGTGTATTGTCGATTTCTACCGTACAAAACATATTTTAGAAGTGAATATTTTACGAGGGCTCAGATTAAAGGTTCCTAATTTGTTAGGGAAAATTATGCACTTTGTCTAATTCATCAATACTTCTTAATAATTATCGGGGCCAAAAAAGGTCATGTTTTTTTTTTTTTTTTTTTTGTTATTAAGTTACTTTCTGTCCGTAGAAGAGGAAGATTTATTTGGCCTCCCCGTATATAACGGGTTAACGCCACAGCCTTAAAGTCATGTTTTAAAGTTTTAAGATGACTTCTAGAGTAGGCATTTAACTTTTTTGAAACGCCTAACATAAATAGTTTATTACTTTAAATTCAAAGTTAACATAGTTATTGTAACATAATTAAATGCCAATAAGCCTGCAGCAAAATCACAGCTTAATTTCTTTATATAAATATATACGAGGCGAAACTGTAAGGTCATAGGTGTCGACCATAAGATATCCTTTACTCAGCTATTTCAAAATAAAATGTAGGATTGGTAAAGTTAGTATCAGTTATTTACCCTATAATTAAGTCGAAAGTATCAGGAGAGTCCAGCTTGAGTATTAAATTTATTTTATGTATAGCCCTATTTATTTCTAATCGAGGTTATCGAAGAGAAAAAGGGCAAACAATCGAGTAGTAGACATTATAGAGGTCGTCGAGAGAGCAGCAAGAAAGAAGTGAAGAATAGTGAGAAGTCGTCGAGGAGTTTTAAGAAAAGTTAAAGTCGTATAAAGTGTGGTTGCGGTTTAGAAGTTGGTCTCGGTTAACACTTAAAGTCATTTTAATCGTATTAATAAATCGAAATTTGTACTATCCCACATAAATGTGCCCCAGTTGACAAGTTTAGGTGGCGCCATCTGCCGATCTGCATTACCAACACCATAAGCTGAGAGACAGTACGGATATGGCTTAATCGACTTTGCCATTGATACTAATCAATACTATATTAAAAGCTTTTAGGGTCGGTCACGCTTCATTCTACCTATTACTTGCTTTCCAACGAATTTAATATACCCTTTATCTATCTACGAGTAATGTGTTTAAAAAACTTAAACTTTCATTATAATAAGTAAAATTGTAACAAACCACAAATAGTTTAGTTCTCCACTCACATACATAAAACCAACGAGAACTCAATTAACTTGGACTTGAAGGTGTCCCACAAGTTTTTGCTGCCTGCCCCGCAGAGATCCAGCTTAATTGAAGGCAATTATGCGCTTATCAAACCCCGCCCCCTGGCTCCTGGAATGCCCATCCGATTGTTCCTATCACTCGGCCATAATTAAAATGTTTTCTGCCGGGCGGGATGCGCATAAAAAAAGTTGCCCAGCCACGGCCGCAACAACGCATGAATAAGCACCGCCAAAGTGAGGCCAATTAAGGGGAGCCAGTCGAATCTGTGAGATGCGGACGACAGCCAAGACCGAACTGGAGGAGTGGACAACTGGACAAATGGACAACCGGACTCCACCTGTGGATGTGCTGGAAAATAGCATTAAATCAATTCCGTTGTCAGCTCGCGCAATCCTCAAACGCGGGGTATTTAGAAAAAAAAAGAAACAAGTCCAGATGGATGGCATGCATCGCTGGCCACAACTAGACGCTTTGTCCGTGGACCTCTCTTTACCGATCCCAGCGATTCCAGCAATTTAACACACACCGAAACGCCAAGAAATTTCTGCGATTCGGCCGACAATGAGAAACGCGTCGAGGTTACGCTCAATCAATCTCGCCCAGCGACAAATGTCCGTCTGTTTTCGGCTCCTCGTGGACAGTGGGGAATATGCCTAAAAACCAGAACAGGACAGTGCGGAACGAAACGGAACGGAATGGAGGAGAAGGTGTCTTCTGTTCACGTGCCTCGCTTATCGCTTATGGGCTCATTCATTTCATTTAGCTGCCCATGATTTATTCATGATAATTACTTCATTGGCTTAATTAAGTGTCGACTTCTTGCGGGCACATTTAAGTTCAACCGAAACGGAAGCGTCATTTAAAAAATCGAATTGAAACGTTTTATATTTAAATACTTTTATATATGATTGGAATTAAAACGAAGCTTTACTCAATTTCAGAAGGCCAAAGTTTCCATTACATACAAATAATTAACATATATGATTTTTTTACTGAAGGTGTTAATCGAAATACTTGGAATAACAAAAGCATTGGAATAACAAAAGCAACATGTTGTATGTGGTCATATTTATTTAAAACAGAATATACCAAATGGATTTACAGAGATACCTATAAGTAAACACATATTAACATGCTAACAACTGGCTTTGGGATCTTTATTTCAAACTAAGGCAACAATTCTATTCAACTGTTTGTAGTTATTAACAAGGGTCCATTAACGAGCACAAAATAGAAGGCACTGAGTTTGATTTCTATGTTATGAACGCTTAAAGCCCGATTCTTTTAAGTCGAAATCCTGGGATTCTTTTAACTAGTTGTCATTTGTGTAGCACTATCTGCTTGCCAAATTGGATCGCGCTTTCTGTGCATTTTCAATTGTTATCCACCTCTTCAGAATCATCCAATTTCAGTATATCGCTCAGGGTCTTAGATATCAAACAGACCTCCTTGTTAACGGAGGATTTATTGACTTCTGGCTGGTTACACTCCTTTCCCTCCCCCTCCTCGATATCAGTAAGTATGGGGAACCTGGATATGGATATTCCGTCCTTGCCCCTGATTTTGTACAGCGGCACATCCTCCTGCGGCACATACCCATCCTTCAACCGACGGGCCTTCCGCCATGAGCCATCGGGACGCATGGAAGCCGGAATTATCTTGCTCTCATTGGACTGCAGGTGGGTGCTCATCTTGGTACTGAATCTATACAAATCAATAGCTCCAATTTCGATTTGTTTTTCTCTGGTAAAATCATTTTTAAATGTGACCTGTCACTGGACTCGGGAATTTCACAAGGACGCTTTTAACACCAATGAATGGAATAAACAACACTTTAAAATTAGGCTAAACATTGCGCAACTAACTTAAATTTTTTAGAAACATGCAAAAATTAATCATTTTAGTTAGAAACGTATTTTGTGGGTCAATAGAAAGATATATTTATGTTTACTTTTAAAAGATTAGATTTTACAACTTTTAAGTTAAAATTTACGCTTCAATAATCATTGTTGAATAATGTTATTATATATTAGATTTTTAAGTAAAAATTGTTGTAAAATAAATATAGAAAAATCTTTAATAAAATAAATGTAAGAGTTTTGATTAGCCTACAGAAACTTTAAACATCTATGTATGTTTTTCTACCCCAAATCAAAGAACTTAATTTATCGTTGCTCTTTTGTTATTTAGCCCATATCCTCACTCTTCACTCAGTAGTCTCCTTAAGCCGTGATTAGCTGTTTTATTGCCAGTCCTGATGGTCCTGTCTCTAGAGAATCTATCTCTTTCACCCCATTTCTCTGAATCTCTCATCCACTGCTGCACTCATCTCCGCGTTCATTTCCGCCTTCGCTAATTCGCCAAAGAAAGTAATTAAGTGAACTTTTTTGCTGCAGTTCCGATTCGGTTTTCATGCAAGGGAACTCGGTAGAAAAGACACACGACATCATTCACAATTTTAGCACATCATTCGCATTGACTCAACTGACTATCATCTAATTAGGATACCATTAGTGCCTCCCCTTGCGGAATTACCTGACTTCTATCCTCGCCGCCAACTTATTGTTTTAGCCGCTTTGGCTGCTGCAGCTTCGCCTGTCTAATTAAAACTCGTTTAGCAACAATTTCAATTGCGTTTCAAGAACCTGTTGCCAAGACTCCCCGCTGAAATAATCCACCTAACCCCTCCCAATCACCATTTCGCTTTTTGCACTCGTACAGACGGCATTTTGATCAGATGTTGGAAATGTGATTACTCTGGCTTTGCAAACGAGTTGTGTACATTAAATTGGGTAGTAAACATAATTTTTGAAAATGATTGTTTAAGATTTAGCTCAATGTTTCTGCTTGCATTCGAAGTTGAAACTTTCTATAGTACATTTTTAGGGTTCCAAAGCAAATGCCTTAAATGGAATCAGCATATTCAAAAAAAAATTTTAAATAATCTAAACATTGTGCAGCAATAAGATTTATTAAGGTGATACGAAATTTGAGAAATATTTCGAAACACCTTCAAAAGAGTATATGATAATCGACTTGCTGAACTTAGCCTAATTCGTCGCTTTTTTTTTCCATGCAGCGTAACAAGGTTTCCATTTCCATTTTCTTCCTTTCGCCGCTGCTTTTTGCTGATTGTGTAATTTTAATGTAATTCGCTTTTATTGTTTTTTATTCGTCTCCTCTCTGTCTTTGTCGCTGATTCCGTCTCTTTCTTCTCTCGTTGTCGTCTGTGTGTCTGACATTAATTGCAAGTGCAAAAAAAAAAAAACAGTTGGGGGGTAAAAACACAATAAATTATAATCGCAAAAGTTTTCCTTTTTTGCGAGCAACCTTTATTGATTCAATTTGGCGAAAAGCGAAACTGCAATTCAGGGGAACGAGAATGGGGAACCTGTCTGGCAGCACTAAGCACCTACAGCCCATAAATCAAATAAATCGGTTTAAGGCCCGCCACCCACCCATCCACCCCTCAGTCGAGCAATTAAAGTTTTTCAAGGGCCATCCGAACTGCAATTATGATTCAACGAGTTCTGGTACTTCCCCGTGGCCAAAGACAAAAGGTAATTGAGGCCGGTCCGGGTCCTGATTCCGGCGTGCCAATCGGATACGGACCCTTCTGGCGTCTCGCACAAATCTACATTACCATGATAATTTATGGCGTCTGTATTGGGGATCACGTTAGGCGGAAAAGCGGAAAAGGCCGGGGGAAAAACATTTTCTCTAGCCCAGACACAAAGCCCTACTCCACTGCCCACTTCTTCAGTTTTTTTTACGGCAAGTAAAACAATTCTCGTTGAACTTGAATATTTGTGCTTCTTGTAAACTAATAACAGAGAACACACAGCATATACTCCAGTGAACCAGAATAGTAAAATGCACTGACAAAAATTTGATACCATTTCGTTATATATTTATCATTAAAGTAAAATAAATCAAGCCAAGGAAGTTTTCTACTTAAGTCTTTAAAAACTGATTACCTAGTTTAAAATATTAATGTGTAAAGAATATTTTTGTTTTCTGTACATTTAAGCATTTTAAGCAATCGCATTAGACCAGGAAAAGCAGAAAGTGGGAAGTAAATAGGGAGGACTTAGGCCAAGGGCGACGAAGGATGGAAGCCCAGGAGGGAACATGTTGGGACCAAAAAACAGCAACCGGCAGGAAAACACGAGCTCGAGGAAAATGTAGAGTTCATCAAAAAGGGATTTTGAAATACAAATGAATTTTCGGCATTCCGTTGGAGGCCGTCAGAGACAGAGAGCTTCAGACAGGCCAAATAGGCGCCCACAAAGGCAATGAGCCGGGGGGTAATGGGGCTGGAACCCCCCTACCCCCACCCCCACCAAATAGTACGAGATAGAGAGATGTACCGAGCCAAGCCCTCGCAATCAGCCAAAAAATGAAACACTTGCCTATGTGTCGAGTGCTACACTCAAGAAAAAGTGTTTCTAAAAATTATACAAATATTGTAAGCCTAAGAATATTTGTACTAACGTATACTTAATTTTCATTTTAAAAGCATTCTAACATTCAATTTTAGAAAAAATCCTAGGATATTCCAGAAATTTGGCTTAAATCAATGAAGTTAAAATTTGATTAAACTTAGCCATTCAAAAAATAAGAAAAACTAAAAAAAAATACATATATTCTTAAAACAATGTAATTGGATTTAACATATATTCAGGTTTAATAGATTGAATTATCTATAAATAAATATAATTTATTATTCTAAGAAAATATAGCCTTGTAAAAGCCATTTCATAATATAGATAAATCAAGTATTGAACATTGTGCTTAATATTTAGGCTACGTTTTCCTGAGTGACCCACGTTCGTTTGAGGTTGTGTGGGTGGCTGACAGGGAGGTGTTGGCGCCCCACTGAAACAAAGAAACAGAAAAAAAGAAATATATAGGGAGGAGAAGAAAAAACTTTTGCTTACTCTGCGAGAAATGCCAATCAACCCTTTCCTCTGGCATGTGGAAAATGCACGAACAACGCGATGGGGGTGGCTAAAAGCGCGGGGGTGTCGGGGGCAAATAAAGGGTGATGTGGGGCAGGGGCAGGGGCAGGGGGCTACTGTCAACAGCAGCATTCTTTAGGGGCGGCCGTAAAAACGACGACTCATTTGTATTTCCTTGTCAGCTCCTCTGATCTGCTCCACTCAGCTTTGGTGTGGTCCTTGGTTGTTGTAATTTTCCAAATCATTTCAGCGGCTCAGTTGGAAAACTTTTCAAACGTTTAACTAGCCTCCAACCGAATCCCCCCTTTTTCGCGAGGGGCGGCGATGGAAAACGGGGATGAAACGAAATGCGAAAGTAAAAGGCAGCGACGCGGATTTAAAAGTTTAAATAACTTTTATGTATCTCATTACTCAGAAGTGACAAGGCAACCAGGCAGTGCTCCTCTTTCGCCCTCCTTCAGAGGGAGAGCTTTGAAAATAATCACAATGAAATCGCATAATTCAATTACAAGCCTCGTTAAGCCGGCTCAAGCGATTTTGTCACACTATGCCCTGGAAACTACAAAAGAGAAGCACAAACAAAGAACTGAGCTAGCGGGAAAAATAAAGAGTTACAGTCGCACTTCCATGGAATGTCCAACAAATAGCTAGACACACTAGTTTTATAATAGCTGTTGGAATTAGAAAAGAAAGTATTGTGTTATTGGGTATTCTAGAGATATTACTACAAAACTCTAAAGATAAATTCGATAGAATAAATATTGAACAAATTATATTTTCTCAAATCTTTAAGTTTATTTTGAAAATAATTGTTAGTTAAAATACTAGTATTTAAGTTGATCCCGTATAGTTCAATTTGGAACCAAATAATTATCAGGCGCATCTTAAAAATCTCTCTGACACTAAAAACAAATTTTAATCGTTATATAATTTGTTTTTAAAAATAAGTTTTAGTAAGTTCATTTTCGTAAATATTTTTATAAACTATACAGGAATACCTACTTCAACAAGTTGAACTGTAATCCAGAAGACATTTAGTATTCGCTTCATTAGATGGACAGCAACAGCACCCTTTTCGAGGGAAACGAGAAGTCTCTGTGATTTGTGCCTGGCTTAGACGAGACGATTATCGGTTATATCGATGGATAAGTGGGGGAATGAACTGGGCTTTTGATAAGAGGCTTTTCCGAAAAGAGTTCCCCAAGAGGAAAATAAAGGGAACAACAATGCTTACCTATGTCAGCTGAAATCGGACTTAATGCTGACTTTTCTTTTTGTTAACTTCCCTGTTGGGAACATTTAAATCATTTAACTTTTGCTCTCTCATTGTCTTTCCTCTTTGGAGCTTTCGACTTAATTGAGGTGCTGGGGAAAATTCAGGTGGGTCTACCACCTGCAACTACTCTCGCCCCCCTCCCCACCAATTTTCATTGTGCACCCCGCAATTAACAAAGATTGCAAAGCTTTTAGAACCACTCTTGCAGTTCTCAGTCCCGCTTCTTTTTTTTGCTCCAAAGGGAATTGTATTCCCCCAGTACTTGCTACCCATCATTGGACTGTGGTCATGCCCCAACCCAAACCATTTTCCACCTTGATTTTCTTACACCTTTACTATTTCATTTCCTGCCATCATCGCTTTGTGGAGGTGCCTGGCATTCGTTTTACATTTTTAGTTTCTTTTAAGTGAAATCTAAATGCTTTTACTACCAACAGTTGGCTTTTTCCGTAGT